TATTGTGAAGTAGCTTTAACTGTTTAAGTTCATTGCTGAGATTCAATGAACTTCCTTTAAACTTTGACCATAATTCTGAGTTATTGATGACAGGTATCTCACCAAATGCAATGTAAGATTCATACATGGTGTCGGTAAGCGTTTGATGTGTCTGAATTATAGACGTTTGGTGTTTGAGTACACAGTCATCTTGTAATTTCAGCAGTGTTGCACCTTGTAGTTCTAAATGAGTCGTGATGCCCTTACAGACGGCCGTAACTGTTGTATTGTTTTTTGACCCGAATATCCATTGGTTCGCATGATACAGGGGACTCCAAATAATGTTCGATTTTGTTTCCTGCACATTACACGTATTGTCAGATATGTTTTTTAATAGGTTAAATTCGCAAGCGTAAACCTGTGAGCCGGTGTTATATTTTGATTGTTTATCTGAACAAAGTAGTTTGTTTTCTGGTTGCTTGAAAATCATACACTCCTTATACTGTTCACGAGTTAAGGCAAAATATTGGTCTCTATGCGGCGTGGCAGCTAAAAATGAAGCTTCTGGAACTATTGTCATCATTGTATTGTTGACTGTTGCAGGAATTGGGACGAGATTGAATAAATCGAAATCCTCATGATCGGTTAATGGCAGTTGTAAGACAACTATCAAATGATCTTGTGTGATTCCACTTTGTGAAGACATCAACGTGTATAAATGAATAACGTCCTCTTGATTAAATGGAAGACGAAGTGAATGAGGTAAATGGCCCTTGATCTTCATGATTTGGTCTTGAAGTTGTTGTGGAGACATCAAAAGAGAATTAATTCTGCCATGCTGAGTATCAGTTAAGACATCAAATATCGCAGCTTCAATTTTCATTAATGTATGTGCCATCCATGTAAGTTGGGTTACCAGTGATGTATAGATCTCTAGGTGGTTAATACGTTTAGTATTATGATTAGTGTAATCTACTATTTTGTTTGTCTCATCTTGTAGTTGATTCAGTTTGACTGCAATGGCTTCTGTAGTTTTGCTGAATATATTTATAGTTGAGTCCATGACTGTAGTCTGATTTTTGATCATTTTTGATAGTACATCTTCATTATTGTTGATTTGAGTTAGAGTTTTAGAAATCGTTTCAGCATATTCTGAATCTAAAACACCAAATAATTTGTTAGCAATATTTCCAACTATATTGATGGCTCCTCTGGCTGATCGGTGTCTCGTCATGACCTTCGTTTCAGTTCGTAACTCTATATTAGTATTATTGAATTGACGGACGAGCTCATAACAGCTTTCTTGTTGCTGTAACAATGGGCACAATTGCTGAAGTGCTGCTGTGCCATTTTGAAACCTTTCGATCTCCTTTCGAATAGGCGCGAACTCAAAGTAAGTGATAATTTTCCATCTTCCAATGATTTGATTTACGGTGCCAATTCCTTCAAAATATATTCCGGGTTTGTTTGGAAATGATATTTCTTCAATGGGTTTCGAAAGTATTAATGGCATCATCAAAATTGTCACAAGTATGGTCATCATTAAAGATGTGCCATCATATATCTTTCGACGCTTTGGCAACGCTTCACTAGGTTCATTCGTTCGTCTTGTTTGTGTGACAGTAGAATTTTGTTTTGTTGGATTTTGATTAATGCTGCCTTCAGTGGGTAGGGGGCCAATGATCGTAATGGTCGTTTAAAAATCCCATTGGCTGTTTTTATGTCAGCTACACGGACCAAACCATCTTCTCCTTCATACACCTGTTGCACCCTGCCAAGAGGCCATTTGTACATGGGTAGATTATCATCTTTAATAATGACTAAATCACCTTGGCATAGATTTGCCTTTTGTTGTTTCCATTTGTACCTTGATTGGAGTTCATTGAGATATTCCTTTGACCATCTTCTCCAGAATTCTTGTTTGAGTTCAGAAACTAAACGCCATCGTGATGATAAACTCATTCGGCTCTCCTTTTGATAAGGATCTACATTAGTGGTAGGTGGTTCGCCTATGAGAAAGTGTCCTGGTGTAAGCGCTGTTAGATCATTTGGATCGGATGACATTTTTGTTATTGGCCTTGAATTTAACATGGCTTCTATTTCAGTTATGACTGTTGTCAATTCTTCATAAGTCAATGAAGCGTTGAAAATTCCTTTAATCATTAAATGTTTAGCTGACTTGACGGCAGCTTCCCAGAGTCCTCCAAAATGAGGAGCTCTTGGTGGAATGAATTTGAAGTCAATTCCCTTGTTACTACTGGTCTTAATGATCTTTTCTTTACCATTTTCTGAATAAATGGTAGACTGGAGCTCTTGTAGTTGGTTTCTCGCCCCAACAAAGTTAGTCGCATTGTCACTATAAATTGTTTGGCATCTTCCTCTTCTGCTGATAAAACGTTGAATAGCGGCTATGAATGCCTCTGTTGTCAGGTCACTCACCACTTCTAGGTGAACAGCCTTAGTCGCGAAACAGCAAAATACTGCTAAATATGCCTTTGTTGGCCTTTTTCCTCTAATTTTATAATGAATCCATATCGGACCACAGTAATCAACTCCTGTGGTAAAAAATGGTTTAGTTAGAGTAACTCGATCAGTCGGTAAGTTGCCCATGAGTTGGTCCATCAGTTTTGGTTTTGCCTTTGAACAGATGACACAGCTGTGAACAATGTTTCGCGCCATAATCTTTCCTTTAATCGACCAGAAGTTTTGTCTCATTATGCTTAGCAATAATTGTGGAGCACAATGGGAATTTTCTTCATGTTTCATTTTGAACATCAATTTCACTATTGAGTGATTGTAAGGAATTACCATTGGGTGTTTAGCATCATATGGCAATGTTGATGCTTCAAGCCTT